ATTGTTGGACAACTGGTGTTCTTATTTCACAGGCCTTTGGATGTACCAAGCAAGGACTCACAAAATAAATAAATAAATAAATTATCAAGTGTTAAATTGTGTTGCTAGTACGTGGTGGCACTGTGGGCTAAACCGCAGAAGCCTGTGCTGCAGGCTCAGAAGACCAGCAGTCGTAAGATCGAATCCACGCAATGGAGTGAGCTCCCGTCGCTTTGTCCCAGCTCCTCGCCAACTTAGCAGTTCGAAAGCATGCAAATGCGAGTAGATAAATAGGTACCACCTCGGTGGGAAGGTAAAACAGCGCTCCCTAGTCACGTTAGCTACGTGACAACAGAAACTGTCTTCGGACAAGCGCTGGCTCTACAGCGTGGAAAACAGGATGAGCACCGCCCCCTAGAGTCGGACACGACTGGACTAAAAATGTCAAGGGGAACCTTTACCTTTACTTGATGTTTTTAGTATTCTTCATGAGATTTTTTAGCATCTGTTTCTTTAAGCAGAAGCACTGCTCTCTTTTTTAAAGTAAAAATGAGGAACTGGAATATGATAAATAATATCCTCAAAACAAGATGCTTTTTTGACGACCCTTCATATGGAGGTCTCCTCTGTAAGGTAGAATACACGGTCACCCAGTAGCAGTTCATCCTCGCTTTTCAGCTATCTGAGGTGGGAATCAAAGCACCGTCTTCCGCACTCAGGGAGCAGCCCAAAGACTGGGAGGTGTGTTCTGCAAAGCTGCACCAACTACAAGAAGCCGCTAGAGCTGGTTGCTTCCTAACCATTTGGCTCCAAGCAGTTCTCCGAAAGGAAAGGACACGGCTTATGCATGTTTCCAACATAGTGAGAAGCACTGTTCTCCCTCCCGCTGAGACATTTAACATTTTGTAGCATATAGGTTTCTGGAACATTGTTTTCCATCTTGGGTGTTCTTACCTCTAAGGGGGTGTTTTCTGGGGGGGGGTTACGGGCACCGTACATATATTATAGTCGTTAAATAATTTCTTCCTTGACCTTTTGGAGCTGGATATATATGAAAAACGGGCCCTTTGGTGGGGAGAAAGAAAGCTCTACTTTCTTAGAAGGGTTGTTTCACAGCACAGTGGTTAAACTGCTGTACTGCAGGCAAAACTGTGCTCACGACTCAGGGTTCAAGCCCAAGTAGCCAGCTCAAGGTTCACTCAGTCTTCCATAATTCTGAGGTCAGTAAAAATGAGTACTAAGCTCACTGGGGGAGGGGGATGGGAAATGTGTAGTCTGCATAATTAACTTGTAAAATGCCCAGAGATTGCTTTAAGTACTATGGGGCAGTATAGAAGCAGAAAACTTTCCATTAAAAATTACTACTTATGCAAATATGACACATGATCACAGGCTACTTGGCTATTATAAAAGGGGATTGTGGATTTGAAAAGGTTGGGAAACACTGGTCTAGAAACCTGACTACAGTGATCTTTACAGCCAGAGTGTTCTGGAGAGGGGTGGCCAAAATTATCTCCTGACAGGGGAACAGTAACAGATGAAAAAGGGTCCTGCTGACCCTTCCTTCCTTCTCCTTCTCCAAGAGTGTGGGGTATGGGAAGGTGGTGGCGGATTGAATAAGACTGCATGGCACTACTTTTCCTCCCATCTTGGGTGGCAGGAAAGTTTGCACTGGCATTTCCTCAGCAGTAACATGGTCACAATTACGTTAGCGCTGAAACTGTCCTATCCTACTATTGTACAGTAAAGCTCATGGGTCATATAGCTGTCTCTCAGGAGAAAAAACCCAGCTTCATGGCTTTGGGCAAACTGCATGATCCCAGAGCGCCACCAGAAGGAAGGATTGGTAAACCACTTTTGATTACGTTATACCTGGAAATCCCTCGGTCGCATTAAAGGGAACCACAGAAGCTTAGAGGGGGAGATTTGAAGGCAGAGCAGAAGCTGGGAGTACACAAACCCACAAGCCCAAAGTCTGGCTATCTGGAATGTTAAGCCTGCGCTGTGGTGCAAATATTAACCAGTGTTACTGGTATGTGTTTTGTATTTCAGTTTTGTAAATATGTATAATATAATCCGACAATGAAAAAATACTTTACATTCCTTCTTTGACAGAATGTGTGTTTTTATTTTCACTTAGCGTGAATAACAAAAGTAGGTCCCGGTGAACAACTCCTTGATACGAACCAGAAGCAGAGCATGACTACCCAGATACGAGGGGCAAAAGGGGTTTTGCGTTCACTTGTGGGTATAAATAGAGAAGTTCATTAGGAGTGACTGGCGAGGGAGGAACGTAGTTCAGGGAACATGTGGGAAATCATTTCACTTCAGAGGACTGAGGGTGAAAGGAGTGTAGGTCTGCTTTTTATTAAAACCTGAAATGCATTATAATTGGGCTGAGTTTTTACCCAGATGGCTTTTCTTATGTTGACATCTGCAGTGTGTGTCTTAACCATGTTAAAGAGCTGTCTCTTGTAGCAAGGTAGCATGCATGTAATGCTGGTCAGAAATGGAGTCTTCTGTTGTCTCCAGAGCTAGGTGTGGAGCAGTAGATGGTGAGAAATGGCCCTGGCCCAATCAGAACTTGGAAAAGTTTCTTTTTGGGAACTACAGCTCCCCATGATTCACAGCTAACATGACCATGCAATGTTGGCTGGGCAGTTCAGATAGTTGTACAGTAGTTGTTCCCTAGACTAGCTTTTCCAGGCCCTGCGACCGGTCAGGTTGGGCTGCACTGGATGGTTCATCCTGAAGTTAGGATTAGGACCTCTTAGAAATATGCATTTCTTGGTTATTTCTTTGTTTCATAATAAGAATACTGAAGAATATTGGCTAGTGGATTTCGTGATAGGCAAACAAATGGGTTTTGCAGCCAACAGTCCAAACAATTTCGTTTTCAATTTGTGAACAAAACTTGTCATAAAAAGCTTTACACAAGTCTGCATAAAGTGCATCCCTATATACACGTCTGTGTCTATTTTTCATGCTGTATAAATTTTAGAATACACTTTTCACAAGCACTTCAACATAATCGAATACACGGGGATGTGGGTTTTGTTTTATTTTGTTTTCTTCTATTGACCAGGTAATTAATTAATTTAGTTTTACTGGACCATTGAATTTTGAAAAATGCAGATTTTGGCATGTGATTGTGATCTGGTTCATTTTCCACAGATCCAAATTTAGTAAATGCTGTTCTGGTTTGGTTTTCACAGACCCAATTTTAGTAAATGCATGTAAATATCCAGACCTAATTTATTCCTCCTACATCTCTAGATGATATTCTTAGATTATAGCTGCAGGACAGGATTACTTTTTAATTTCCCAGTTTATTTTTATTGAAACTAAATGAAATTCAGCAGAGAGATGTCACTTTGTTTAGTCTTCATTTCTTTTTAATTCTTGAAGTATTTAACAAATTTGAATGATGTCAAAATATCAATAACTTTAGAAATTACCTATATTGTGACCAAGGTATAAACTCATTATTCTGAAGGAAATCTTTCTTATGTACACAGACCAGAGACTGAAGTGAAATAAGGGATTACTGTATTTGCATATAATTGCTCTGGTGTAGCTTCTTATGTATATTGAAGAGCACACATGGGGCAGGCATGCTCTTTTTTATTTTTGTTTTTATAGTTAGGTATTTTAATTAATTATTTATGATGTGAAAGACAGTTCTGCTGTGTCTCACTTTATGAACAGGAAAATTGTATAAGATCTTGATGTGTGGATCAGAGTTAATGTGTTCCTAAAGGAACTGGAGTGACTCAGCAAATAAATTACTAAACTGGAAGATTCAGAGATTCGAAATGGTGTTTCACACGAAAGGGTTAACACAAAATCAAAATCATGATCCAGAGCACAGGTTGCTGTCCTCTGAAGATGCCGGCCACAGAGACTGGCGAAACGTCAGGAAGAACAACCTTCAGAACACGGCCAAAGAGCCCGAAAAACTCAAAACAACCACATGATTCAGAAACCAGAGCCCGAAAAACCCAGAACAACCACATGATTCAGAAACATTAACTATTTTAGTGATAATTTAAAATTAATTCATAATGTTAATTGTGATCTCTTGAATCCCTTTAATAGGAGGAAGCTGTGATATAAATAAAGTGAATGAAGGAATGGTTCAATATTTATTTTAACAAAAGAAAATTTAAACTGTGTTCTCAGTGGCTTTCACAGCTGGGATCTGGTGGTTGTTGTGGGTTTTTTTTTTGTGTTCTGGAGGTTTTTCTTCCTAACGTTTCGCCAGTCTCTGGTTGGCATCTTCAGAAGACAGGAGCTAGAACTCTGTCTGTGTCCTGGTGTAGTCCCACACACTACACCAACAATCCCACACACTACTTCTGAAGATGCCGGCCACAGAGACTGGTGAAACGTTAGGAAGAAAAACCTCCAGAACATGGCCAAACAGCCTGAAAAACCCACAACAACCATCAAAATTTAAATTCTTAAATATGGGCAATTTCCGAAATGACCTGCAGAAGTAATGAGAAACTAATGTAAAATTTTACATCATTACTCCTGTTGACCTTGTTGTCATTTAGCAATTTAAATAATAACTTCTGCAGTTATTGCTGTTTTTGTGACAGAAATCTTTGAATTAGGAGTAATGAATGAATTTGTAATATTTCTAAGCTGTGGCTTATCTGAAATCTTTCTGTGTAACTTTGAGTCTCAAAGTTTCTTAGCTTTTGTTTGCCAGCTCAAGAATGAGAATGAATGACACAAGAATAGAAGCTCTTTATATACTTTAGCCTTTACCACACTTGGAAATAAGTTTCACTGTTGTAAGTTGAAGAATGTGTGTTTATAAACACTGGGTTGTATCTGGAGTTGGTTAGTTGCACTCCATCCACACAGAAATCAGTAGGGTAAGTTAGTGGTGATTATTTGTGAAAAGTTCAGCTAACCTAGCCTAATATTTTGAATAAGATAATAATTTGCATTCTGCCCTATCCATGATGATAAGTGGACCAGAAATATATTGTATTTCCTCTCTTTTGCAGACAATAGGAAAATAAAAGTGAATGGCACAAGGGAACCTATTGAGTTTAAATCAAATCAATGGTTTGGAGCAACAGTCAGAGCTCATAAAGGAAAAGTTGTGGTAAGTTATTAGATTTTTTTGGCATTCAATTTGCTGAGATTTTTCTTTTTCAGTCATATATGTTCCAAATGAACACACACATATAACTATGAATAAGCGAAGGTAGTCCTGGTCAACCTGGTCCTTTAGGGGGGGAAGCCCTCTTTAAAGACCATAGTTGAGGCATATTTTTTACTAGGGAGCCATAAAACAAGGTGTGAGCTTTCTAGTTCTCCAGAACTCTTCATCAAGTCGGGACAAAAAGAAAATATGTAATGGTATGGCTGTTTAATTTTCATGTTGAGCCTGGAAGATGCACCCAAGCCTTTATTCCAACATAGCCTAGAACAAGCACAGAGAGAATCAAAATGTGTGTGCAAGAGGGAAATTAGAAGACAGGATAGTATACAGCCCACAAGCCACAAGAACACTTGAGGGGGTTACTAAAGCCAGATGAAGTATTCCTGTCTCCTGTTGATGCCGGTGACCATTGTTCCTGTCGGAGATGGAAAAGGTTGTGCTTTGCACAAACTAATGTAGAAGCCTACAGTTCCTCCATGCTGTAAGAAATACCAGATATATGCTAGGCCCACCTAGTTCAATGACACCTTCCCTGTGCATTCTTTCAATGTTCTTGGGAGCGAGGATCATTTGAATATCCTAAAATACAGAAAAGGAAGGATTGGGAAGGATCTGAAAGTGAGATTTCCAAAAGTAATTTTAACTGATGGACCATTTTGGAGCCTCAGTCCTAGATAATTCTTCATGGGCAGCATGAACGGCCTAAAGTTAGTATGTACAGCAAACGGTTAAGTATAAATTGTTACCTTTGATTGATTTCAGGCAATTTAGGCCTCTAGGTGAGCATGTAATTAGTGATCTGGTTGTCTTTCTCTAGTCCAGTCAATATAAAAATAGAAATAACTTGGTATGAATCGAAGGGATTTTGCAGTTTCCTCTATCAACTGCTTGTACTTCATCCCAGAAGCCTACATCATAGTGGCAAATCTGTGAGATTAATGGGACTATGATTCCAAATCCAAAGTTTTCTTTTAAAAAACCCTCTATGTGCCTGTTGTGATTTTATAGAGCTTTTTACGAGAACTGATAGAAACCCGCAAGTGCTACTCCATAATGATCTATCTGTGTTCTTTCAAGCAGTTTTATTAACTAGTAGGGTGATGGCAACAGTAATTTGTTTGCTACTTAGACAGACATTTTATGTTAACAGCTAATGTGCTGGGATAATAAAATAATTGTTCATTATAAATGACAATGAAATATCTTGCCTAGTGAACCTTGAGTTTGGTCATGCTTAATTTTCCCAAACAAGTACGAAGCAACAAGTGTTGTCTGGGGATTTGTTTTAGAACGATTCAAATTATTTTTAATGGGAATGTGTATCTAAAGGAAATGCCTTGCTTTAAATATTCACTCATGTGGTTAACCCCAGAAAAGGACTTTGACATAAAACAGGTGATGAATAAAACATCACCTTCTCCTGTTACGGAGCTAGCCTGCATGTTGGATTCCCAGCAGTCTTTCCTCTGAGCAATCACAGCTCTCCAATTCCAAACACAGCACCTTTAGTTTACCTCCTTTGGGCATATTCTCTCTCATGCACACTCTCTAAATGCAAAGTTGATTTCCTTACATAAAGTGAGTGTTAGAAATAAATCCTGTATGCGCATGTGACCCAATGACCTTCCGTGGTCCTTGAGTATGTAGTTCAAAGAAGGGGAGTATTTTCTTCCAAAAAATAAAATCACACATGCACATCCTACTTCAGTGTTTTGTTTTGTTTTGTTTTTGGTGGCTTGTAGTGATTTAAGGAGGGTTACAGAACAGTGAAAAGGGCATATAAAATTGTATTATTACAAGCTTTCCAGTCCTCTGTGTGATGAAGCCCTAGGGTTTGGTTTCCTTTGAATGAGAAACGAAGACTCTAATGTCTCTGTAATATTTAGAGGAATACAGTGGCAGAAATCATGCAGTTATGGAAAAGGTGTAGCTTTTAGAGATAAATCTCAGTAGACTTTATTTATTGCACGCCTATTCATATGACTTACCATGCAACAGATAATGCCTGCAGAGATGTCTTAACTTACCGCAAATAACCTCTAAACATTATGCCTTTTATATAACTGTGCGATAGGATTTGGGCCAGTTTCTCTGTACAATATTGTACAAATGCACAAGCAGACCATAAGGTGAGAGAGAGATATTTCTCCATAGCAGCACATCCACTATTCTGTCTGCAATCTTCATGTTGAAATTCTGCACCCCCTCACCTTCATCCAACCTGCACCTCTGTCTCCTGCACCCTCCTATTGCAAAATGATGAGCAAGTGGGTACACATGTGCCTGAAAGAGTGAGACAGACCAGATGGACTTCCCATGTTATCTCCTAAACAAATAAAAGGCAGTATCCCATTGCTAGTTTCAGCTATAGAGAATAGATACACTAAATCAATTGCTGAACAACACTTCTGTAAATCCTGTTGAGTCAGCAGGCTTGCTCTCATTGGGACATGCAGTAGGATACTGACCAACATGTACACAACACATGCAAATGTGCATTGCACTAAGTCAGTTATTGTGGGAAGGAAATCACTACCCTGACACTGAAGGTACCATGCATAATAAAATCAGATGTGCTTCCTCTTCCAGTACCACTCACTCTGAAATTCATCTCCCTGAAGAAATAAGCATAGCACTTCCTTGAGACTTCAGCTGGTAACCTGAGTACAGTACTAGCAACCCCCTTCTACTGTAGTTCAAAACTATCTACCAGTTTGTGTCTTGGAGCCAAACTGCATGTTACAGGGAACAAATAGTTTTCCTTCAGTATCAACATGGCATGGGCAGGTTTGCACCTTTCTAGGAACCAATCCTAGCACATGGTTTCCTGCCCTTGCGTACTCCATGTACATTGCAAATGTAACTGCCCCTCTTGTGTTTGCTGTTAAAGTAACCCCCTCGAAAAGTCTCCATGTAGAAAGTACACTTAGAAGAAAGGCAATGGGTCTGTGGAAGGAAAATCTTGTTTCTTGGTAACAGCTGGTAACAATGATCAATATCAGGTCTAACTGTAGAAGCATATTGGTGTTCCTTGCACAAACTATTGATTAGTGGTTTGCATCACTTGTCAGACTTTTATAGAAGGAAGGATCAGGATTTCTCTATTAGCATGTCAGTGGTTCTTTGATATACAGAGCAAATAAAACAACTTTCTGGAGTAGCTATTTCTGAACCACTGAAGGCCAAAAAGGCTTGAAACGAGCATGACTAAAGGATGCTTCTTCCTCCCATTCTGTTTCATTTATCTGGGTACCCTTCTCTGAGAAAGGTATATATAGTACCAAAGAAAGTGTCTCCTCTCACCATTGTCATCTCAGCTTTTGGAAGAAGCCTTCCTAGACCTAAAGCTTGGGAAAGTTACATTTTTGGACTCTGCCTTCTAGAATCCTCCAACCAGCATAGCCAGATAGCTCGAGGGATTTTCAGAGTTGTCATCCAAAATGGAAGTTTTCCAAGCTCCACATCAGATTAATTCATGACATGCTTCTACTGGAGATTTTTTTAGCTATCCAAAGTAAAAAAGAGCCATAAAGCATTTGTGAAATAATCCTGGCCTTAAAAACTTGTATTGCCGATGGTACATGTTTACCCCCATCAGTATGTTGTGAAGGTTATTCTTCCTAACATTTTGCCAGTCTCTGTAGCCGGCATCTTCAGAGGGATGGAGTAAGAACTCTGTCTGTGCTGTGGCTTTTTAATGACACTTTTGACAGATGTGTTGACACTTTCTGGATTTACCATGATGTTCATTGCATTTATTGCTGTTAGTTTTACTGTAGCAATTACTTAATTTCATAAATTATTCACTTTGAATATCTTTTAGCAGAAAAGTAGTGTTAAATAATATCTGTTTTTAAACAATAAATCTGCACAATCCATCCAAGCTTTTTAATGCTGTGAAGCCTTCTCTGCAGAGTGAGAGAAAACATAGTTAAAAGTAAACCAAGTGCCAGTTTCTCTTTCCTTTTATCTCCCAGACTTCCCTCTCTATGTGTTCTTCTTGGTTTAAATTGGAATTGTTTTAATAATTTAGAAACTTCTCAGATCATTGGAGCCTTAAACATTTGTTGTGGGGTGCTTTTAAACAGCTCTGTGCAAGATGCAGCTGCTGATATACAAAACTTGGACTAAAAGCATCTAAGTACTTTTTTCATTTTTTTTTTTTGTTGTTTGCTTGTTTGTTAAACAAAAGACTTAAACACACTTTTGTGTATCTATATGTGCCTATAAGCCACAGTCCTATACTTCACAAGCTGGTGAAAGACATTGAAAAAGATACCACATGCTACTTCAGGTTGTTCATCTGTCTGGTCTAGATTGCTCTGGCTTGCCAGGGTCTTCAGTAAATACCTGTTGCATCTCATCCTACCTGAAGTGTTTAATTGGACATGTTAGGAATCAAACCTAAGACTTTCTTCTTCATCATTTTTTGGCCTTGTGAATGCCTTCTGAAGAGGGCTAGAGGTATGGGGCATGCAATGTAGATTTTTCCACACCAAGTGTAGAAAACATTCTAATGATTTATAGTTTGTAATTCTGTTCAGGAATAAGGTTTGGTGGAACAGTTTTCAGGCATACAAAGTGAAGTTCAGTTCTATGCAGTTCTTAACTCAGAATTCAGCCCAGTGCAAAGCATAGCTCAGTTCCAAACTTTTAAATAGCATCCTATCTGCAATCACTGTTCAGAGATAGCAGCAGCAGAAGTTTGCAGACCACACTGGGGAACTTCCATAGACTGGATCCAGACTTCCTTATCCTTCTGCAATGCTGTGGGTTGTTTGCTGAATTTCTTGGAGAAATAATATTCAGTTCATAATACATTATGGCCCAAATCCTATTACATAATGTTAAGCAAAGTAAATTCTTGGGAAGCACACAGAAAAAATCAAACCAGTGTGTACCTACACCTCTGAGAATTATGACAGGACTCTTTATTTGCCCATGAGGAACAGACTGAAACTTATGATTTTTCTTATGTTACATGATAGGGTTTCAGCCATTATGTTGTACTGTAAGCTGATGTTCCAAACAAGATAATTTTAGCTTTTAGTAACATCAGTATAGTTCTGTCACATTTTTACCGATGAGCAAGCAGACAACAGCTTCAGTCCTGGTCCAGTTTTATCATCATCATCATCATTTGAGAACTGCAGAGCTGGAAGGGACTGTATAGATAATCAACTCCAGCCCCCATCAAGGAGGCGCAGTTGGGAATCAAATTCCTGATGCCTTAAACCACAGAACTATCCAAGAATTCCTCTTTCAAGGAGGCACAGTCAGGAATCAAACTCCTGATGCCTTAAACCACTGAACTATCCAAGAATTCCTCTGCTGTCAGTTACAGACACCCCAAATGTCTTATTAAACAAGAAATAAAATAGCTTGAAAAAAATAAAGCAATAAAATGATATAAATTTTAAACAGTTCATTAGAAAACAGGGTTAACTTGAAATGTTAGTAGTCAGGGAAATCTTTGGATAAACATGTCTTTAATTGATGGGAGCAACACCCAACACTGGTAAACATGTCTGATTTCTATTTTAATCTTTGAGACTTTTTTTATCTCCTACATTTAAAGGACTGTCCAGTTAAAGTTTGATTTAAAGATAGAGAACTACAAGTAGGGACACCAAGAAGCTTCAGGCTTCTCATATTTATTTAAAATATTTTTACCCTGTCTTTCTCCTTAAAAAGGACCCAAAGATGCTTACTTCATTAAAAACACAATATTAAAAGCTAAAAACAGTGAATTATTCAAATATTTAAAAAGAATTAATCATATTTAAAAGGTTAGATAACAGCATTACTAAAAACAGGTTTAGAAGCAACAGAATATAAACCATCCTACTTATTGTTTTAGAAGCAACAGAATATAAACCATCCTGCTTATTGTTTCCTAAGGTAAAGGTAAAGGTTCCCCTTGACAATTTTTGTCCAGTCGTGTTTGACTCTAGGGGGCAGTGCTCATCCTGTTTCCAAGCCATAGAGCCAGCGTTTCTCTGTAGACAGTTTCTGTGGTCATGTGGCCAGTGCGACTTAGACACAGAACGCTGTTACCTTCCCACCAAGGTGGTCCCTATTTATCTACTCGCATTTACATGCTTTCGAACCGCTAGGTTGGCGGGAGCTGGGACAAGTGACAGGTGCTTACTCCGTTTTGCGTGGATTCGATATTACGACTGCTGGTCTTCTGACCTTACAGCACAGAGGCTTCTGTGGTTTAACTCGCAGCACTACCAAGTCCCTAAGCAGTCACTAAAGTTTCCTAAACAGTCACTAAAGAAGAATCTACTTTACAGGACGAGGGTGACAGTAGTCTTCTATTGTCTTGATGCTTTCATAGATCAGCCATCATCCCAGACATTCTGTTGCACAAGCAACAACAAAACAGAGAGCTGGGAAAAGTGAGTGCAACTCTCATTAAAGTCATATATTCTGACTACCTGGGCAGCACACTCAACAGGCAGATGGTCACTTGGTCTTCCCATCTGCCCTAGTGAGATGCGTCACAGGTCAATTTAAATTCTAAATATAATTTCTGATTTTTACATCTGTTTAAATAAGTCAGCATATGCAATTTTGTACAAAATTGTCTTTTGTCCTCCTTTTGTGTAATGCATGCCGCCACCAGGTGAAAATGGCCACCTTATTTGCAACTCTTGTTTTGATAGGCGTGTGCTCCTTTGTATCACTGGAGGACGCTAAAGACTTCACCTGAAAAGGACCCGGTCGGCACGTGCTATGTTGCAATTCAGAATTTCAGCACGTATGCTGAATATTCTCCTTGTCGCAACAGTAAGTTATTTGCCTTTCTTACTTGAACTAAATAATGCCTGTTATTGTTATACTGTTGTCATAATGAAATTTTGTAAATGTTATAGTAATAACAAATAGATTTATAATAATAATAATAATAACAACCTTAGAACTGCAGAGCTGGAAGAGCCCGTTATGGAACACTGAGTCCAACCCCTTTCAAGAAGGTACAGTAGGAAATCCATCTCCACAGCCAGATAACTAAACCACTGAGCTATCCAAAATTAGCTCATGTAGAGCTGAAAATGTAGACAGTGCTTTCATGCATTCATCCCAGGTGTAGACTTGACTGAATGGCCCTTCCCAGGAAATATTTTCTCACAAAGTAGATCTTGAGTTAAAAAGAGACATCAAATTATATGTTTCTACTTGAATGCTTTTCTATTTAATTAAAAGAGTACAGATGAAGCTGGTGCTCGCATGCTGACATGTGAAGACAAAATTGGCTTAATTTAAAAGTGCTTTAAATATACCGAACAGATCTAGATAAGCGGAAGCCAACTTTTAAAAGCAGCTGATTATTTCAAATGGAACACATTCTCCCCTCTCTTTTTATAGAACTAACAACCTACAGGTTGTACTTATGATGAAATAATCATACTGTTTTGTAAGCAGGCTGGCTATTGGTCATAGTGTAGAATGGGGATGCAACTATGAATTGTGTAATGTCTACAAAGCTTCTAATAAGTCTTCTGTTTGACTGTAATGTCCTGAAAACAATTGTTTGAACATATTAAGGCAACACTGAATTAAGCAGAGGTCTATGGCATTTTTTGCTAACTAAAGGTCGTTTTCTTGACCCTGGCTGGTGTCAGTTAGGATAAACCAAGTGTAACATCTCACATTCACCTTTAAATCTGCCAAAACAGATTTGAAATTTGAACTTCTTGTTTTGGGTTCAGATTTTCCTGGCAGAATTCACGTATTTCTGGTTTTGACATGAGCTTTGGATAATCACTTTTTCTTCCTCTTTGAAGCCGCCATTCAGCTTGGAAATCAATGCTTGAATTGGATAATCACTTTTTCTTCCTCTTTGAAGCTGCCATTCAGCTTGGAAATCAGCACAAAAACAACAGATGAACTTTTCAGATGCTTGCCTCGTTTTCTTTCTTTCTTGTAAATATGTCTCCATTTCCTGTGGTAATATATGCGTCCTTCCATATTACACAACTAATTTAAACTTTTTGTTTTGATGACTTCAGACAACCCAGATCCTGAGGGACAAGGCTACTGTCAAGCGGGATTCAGCTTAGACTTTTATGAGGTGAGAGGGTGCAGTGGTGGGCTTGGCTTCGCACCCAGCAGCTTTCACCTTTACTCTTAAGATACATGGAGGGACGTGGTGGCGCTGCGGGCTAAACCGCAGAAGCCTGTGCTGCAGGGTCAGAAGACCAAGCAGTCGTAAGATCGAATCCATGCAATGGAGTGAGCTCCTGTTGCTTTGTCCCAGCTCCCGCCAACCTAGTGGTTTGAAAGTATGCAAATGCGAGTAGATAAATAGGGACCACCTCGGTGGGAAGGTAACAGCGTTCCGTGTCTAAGTCGCACTAGCCATGTGACCACGGAAGATTGTCTTCGGACAAAATGCTGGCTCTATGGCTTGGAAATGGGGATGAGCACCACCCCCTAGAGTCAAATACGACTGGACAAAAATTGTCAAGGGGAACCTTTACCTTTATCTTAAGATACATAATTATTGCGGGACCACCTCGGTGGGAAGGTAACAGCGTTCCGTGTCTAAGTCGCACTAGCCATGTGACCACGGAAGATTGTCTTCGGACAAAATGCTGGCTCTATGGCTTGGAAATGGGGATGAGCACCACCCCCTAGAGTCAAATACGACTGGACAAAAATTGTCAAGGGGAACCTTTACCTTTATCTTAAGATACATAATTATTGCTTCCAATTCAGGGGAACCTTTACCTTTACCTTAAGATACATAATTATTGGTTCCAATTCATTCTTTCACATCTCAAAATGTTTTTCTTAATTTTTTAAAAACATGGTAACAGGGATCTGGAAACGACTGAGTTCCATTCAGATATATCAGATAGTTTTTATCTTAATCATAGAAAGGAATCAAATATATCCTCCTGCACTTAAGAGGAGATTACATCTTAACTGAAAAATTGATTAAAGAACAAATTATTAATCAGTAAACAATTATGTGGCCAGTTGCTAATAATAATTATGTGCTGTAAAGTCAATTTAGACTTACGCAACCATTTCCAGAGTATTGTTCTTGTTTAGTCATGTCCTACTCTTTGTGGCCCCATGGACCAGAACATGCCAGGCCCTCCTGTTTTCCACTGCCTACTGGGATTTGGTCAAATTCATGTTGATAGCTTCGATGATGCTGTCCAACCATCTCGTCCTCTGTCATCCCCTTCTCCTCTTGTCCTCACACTTTCCCAACATCAAGGTCTTTTCCAGGAAGTTTTCTCTTCTCATGAGATGGCCAAAGTATTGGAGCCTCAGCTTCAGGATCTGTCCAATTTAACTGTTGCTTCCTGTCCCACATATAGATTGCTCACAGGAGATGGATAAGTTGGTCAGGCACTCCCATTTCTTTAAGAACTTGCCATAGTTCGCTGTGGTCCACACAGTCAAAGGCTTTTGCGTAGTCAATGAAGCAGATGTAGATGTTTTTCTGGAATTCTCTGGCTTTCTCCATAATCCAGCACATGCTAGCAATTTGGTCTCTAGTTCCTCTGCCCCTTTGAAATACAGCGTATACTTCTGGGAGTTCTCGGTCCACGTACTGCTGAAGCCTACCTTGTAGGATTTTGAGCATAACCTTGCTAGCGTGGGAAATGAGTGCAATTGTATGGTAGTTGGAGCATTCTTTGACACTGCCCTTCTTTGGCATTGAGATGTAGACTGATCTTTTCAAATCCTCTGGCCACTGTTGAGTCTTCCAAACTTGCTGGCATATTGAGTGCAACACTTTAATAGTGTCATATTTTAAAATTTAAAATAGTTCAACTGGAATGCCATCACCTCCACTGGCCTTGTTGTTAATCATGCTTTCTAAGGCCCACTTGACTTCACTCTCCAGTATGTCTGGCTCAAGGTCAGCAGACACACTATCTGAGTTGTCCAGGGCATCCAGATCTTTCTGATATAATTCCTCTGCATATTGTTGCCACCTCTTCTTGATGTCTTCTGCTTCTGTGAGGTCTCTACCATTTTTGTCCTTTATCATGTCCATCTTTGCACAAAATGTTCCTTTAACATCTCCAATTTTCTTGAACAGATCTCTGGTTTTTCCCTTTCTATTATTTTCCTCTATTTCTTTGCATTGTTCATTTAAGAAGGCCCTCTTGTCTCTCCTTGCTATTCTTTGGAAGTCTGCATTCCATTTTCTGTAACTTTCCTTATCTCCATTGCATTTTGTTTCCCTTCTCTGCTATTTGTAAGGCCTCATTGGACAGTCAACTTTGCTTTCTTGCATTTCCTTTTCATTAGGATTGTTTTTGTTGCTGTCTCCTGTACAGTGTTACGAGCCTCCATCTATAGTTCTTCAGGCACTCTGTCCAACCAATCTAGTTCCTTAAATCTGTTCTTCACTTCCACTGTGTATTCATAAGGGATTTGGTTTAGATTATACCTGACTAGCCCAGTGGTTTGTGTTTGTGATGACCAACTTGTTCTCTTGACAGAACTCTATTAGCCTTTGCCCTGCTTCATTTTGAACTCCAAGGCCAAACTTACCTGTTGTTCCTTTTAACTCTTGACTCCCTAATTTAGCATTTCAAACCCCTATAATGAGAAGAACAATATTTATTTGGTGTCAGTTCTAGAAGGTGTTGTAAGTCTTCATAGAATTGGTCAATTTCGGCATCTTCAGCGTCGGTGGTTGGTGCATAAACTTGGATTACTGTGATGTTGAAAGGTCTGCCTTGGATTCGTATTGAAATCATTCTATCATTTTTTGAATTGTATCCCAGTACAACTTTTCACACTCTTTTGTTGCCTATGAGGGCTACTCCATTTCTTCTATGGGATTCTTGCCCACAATAGTAGATACGATAATAATGTGAATTGAATTTGCCCATTCCTGGCCATTTTAATTCACTGGCGCCCAGGATGTCAATGTTTATTCATAGATCTTACATTCCAGGTTCCTATGCAGTATTTTTCTTTGCAACATCAGACTTTCTTTTCACTTCCAGGCACGTCCGCAGCTGAGCGTCCTTTCGGCTTTGGCCTAACCACTTCATTAGCTTTGGGGCTACTTGTACTTGTCCTCTGCTCTTCCGCAGTAGCATACTGGACGCCTTCCAACCTGAGCGGCTCATCTTCCAGCATCATATCTTTTAGCCTTTTTTTTCTGTCCATGGAGCTTTCTTGGCAAAAATACTGGAGTGGCTTGCCAGTTCTTGCTCCAGGTGGATTGCGTTTAGTCAGAAGTCTCCACTATGACCTGTCTGTCTTGGGTGTCCCTGCATGGTATAGCCCATAGCTTCTCTGAATTACTCAAGACCCTTTGCCATGACAAGGCAGCAATCCGTGAAGGGGTTCCAGAGTATACTAAGTATAAAGTATTCATAAGTAGTTTATCAGTTTCTGCTGCTGGTGCTGTGGGACTGTGTAGCTCCCTCAAGGTTGCACAGGTGGCGGGGCACAGAAGCCACCTGTGTAGCTTCTGCATCAGCCACACAGGCTCTTGGTGATGTTGACTGGCTCCTCTCCCAGGAGGCATAGTAAGGCTTCAGGGTTCCAATCCCTGGCGCCACAGAAAGCAGCACCAACCCACTGAGCTGATAATCCTCATAAAAACATGAGATTTCTGATTCACCAAATAAGTGCTGATGTAGTTCAACAACAAAGATAGTAAAAAAAAACTACAATTTCTGAGGCTATCTGGCCACCCAGGTGTTTCATTATCTGCAAGTACTATTAGTCCTAGCCAGGATACACAATAGTTAATAGTTTCCAGAAGAGCAGCCATGTTAGTTTATTGCCTGAAACAGTAAAGAGTCTTATGACATCTTAAAGACCAATCAGTTTTATTGTGGCTTAAACTTATATGGACTACAGCCCAGCAATACAAAGTCGTATATATATATATATATATAACTAGCAAGGTTGCCAGTAAATATTTTTGGCTATATTGAAAGATGGTTCCGTTTATAATGCACAAGCTTTGTGGACCTTCTCCGCTTCACTTAGTTTGTTATGCTGCGCTATGAACACACTGTTATGTACTAAGACTGTGTGAATTGGCTTCTTAATGGGCAAACATTAGACAAATTGTACTGACTGTAATTGAAACGGTGAACATACTGTAATGAAGAGTTTTGAAAAATTACTTTTTGAACCACAACACCAAGAATGCACTAGGCAGCAAGTTCACTAGAGTAGGGAATTCCTGGAACTGCTGTCCAAAATATTGTAGTAACTTGTTCAAGCAAATTCCAAAGATGGGCAAATTGCATTTTTGCTCCAGTGACATCATAACTGTGGGCCATGCCCTGTATATATTTATTTCCCCCCCCCACCAAGACTGGTGAGATTGCATTTTTGCTCCAGTGACATCATAACTGGGGGCCATGCCTTGTATATATTTATTTTTCCCCCCACCAAGACGGGTGAGATCAGAAGTGCAGGTTATGTGGCCCTGCAGATGCTGCTGGATTGCAGCCCCCCCCCCATCAGTCCTGGTCATAATTGTGTGCTGTCAACTTGATTGCCTTCTTTTGGGAATTGCAGTCTAGTAACATCTGGAGTAACATCCGTGCAGTCCATCCCTGGATTGCATGGTACTAATAGATGAACATTACTTGTTTGAGTCATTTGGTTTTATATACGTTTGCTTTTGGTTACTGATATATTCATAGTTTTCTTGTCTATCATGTCTCTAGAATGGAGATCTCATAGTAGGAGGACCTGGCAGTTTTTATTGGCAAGGTATGTTCCTCCACTTCAATGAGAGAAGACGAAATGACAGGGAAAAGCAATGCCTTTTGAAAAGTCGTCAAATAAGACGTGCAATCCTGATTCACTTGCTAGGGAGTATGGCCAATTTAACAATTTAACACATTGAGGGTTGCACTTCTCAGCTGTAAGTTTTTGTTCTTAGTCACATCATTGAAACCTGCCAGTGGAATGAGAGATCTAAACCACTGGTTCTTAACCTTGGGTTACTCAGGAGTTTTGGACTGCAACTCCCAGAAGCCTTCACCACCAGCTGTCCTGACTGGGGTTTCTGGGAGTCGCAGTTCAAAAGCATCCGAGTAACAAAGGTTAAGAACCACTGAATTCTAAACCATACTCTTAATCCCCCTTACATTGCAAGTAAGACAGATATCCCATTGTTTGAATGTTGCTCACTGCAGGGTTTTCCAGTCATGTTTTCTATGGGTTGAGTTTGTTTATGACATATCTACCATTCATTGTCTTGCTTTCTTTCAGTCCTGTACCCTCTTGCATCTCTTAATTACTAACTTTCACTACTGCTATAATCCACTGCAACCAATAGCAACATGGTTATTTAAAAGAAAGTATGTTTTACTGTGTTTTCTTTTTCTTCTTCCTGTCACTCTCTCTCGGCTTAGGCAAACATTTATCTGTTCTCTTCAACTATCCTTTCCTCTTTTTTTGGTCTCAGATTTCCTTGTTTAAAACTGTAAGTTTGTGGAAATTTGGTCTTGTTCGTATATACTGCCTTAACCACAACATAATACATGAAGGAAAGAAACAGTATTTATTAAGTGATGGTTTAGAAACCTTAATTGTTATTCCCTAACTTGGCTCTTTGTAGGACTTTTTCATCTCCTTTTTTTTTTTTAATCACAGGTCAGATTATCACTAGTAGTGTTGCTGATATTATCACAGGCTATTCATTCAAGAATATTTTGAGGAAACTATCACGAGAAAAGCAAACGGGAGTAGCACCATCAATATATGATGACAACTATCTGGGTAAGTTACTGGATGGTTTTATTGGACACTGTGTTGTGCCAATCTGGAAATGTAATATAAAAATATTTACTGTGGCCCAGAAAGAGAGAGAGGTGCAAGGAGTCTTACATTTAAGTTTTCTGTGCTGCCATACATGCAAATCAGGATACTCACCAAACATCTGCTGCATATGCTGGAGTCATATGTTAATACAAACAGGGATGCAAGGGAAAATGCCAATTGTTATCTATCACTGGTATAACTATGGCAACTACAGTGGTGCCCCGCTTGACGTTACCCCACTCCACAACGAATCCGCTTTATGTTGAGGTTTTTGTGATCGCTATTGCGATCACAAAACGATGTTTGAATGGGGAAAATTCGCTTTACGATGATCGGTTCCTTGCTTTGGGAGCCAATTTTTCGCTTAACGATGGTTTTGAAACAGCTGATCGGCAGGTCGCAGAATGGCTCCCAGCTGTGCAAAATGGCTCCCTGTTGTGTTTAGGACGGATTCCTCGCTTAATAGGCACCAGAAAATGGCCGCCCTATGGAGGATCTTCGCTGCACAATGAGGTATTTCGCCCACTGGAACGTATTGAACCAGTTTTCAATGCATTTCAATGGGTTTTTTTACTTTCACTTGACGATGATTTTGTTCTACAGCGATTTTGCTGGAATGGATTATCGTCATCAAGTGAGGCACCACTATAGATTGGAAGTTGTTATAAACTAACATTTACATCCATAATAACTTGGCAAGATTAATCAGACCGTAAAAAGGATTAGAGCTTGAAACAGCTTGAAAATAGCTGAAATTCTACCACATGTGGTTTAGATTGATATAAGCATTTCTATCAGCATACATGTTAATTACGTAATGCTTTTTCTGACTAGCCATGTTTAATAACATAATTGTAAATGAGTTTGTTCCAGATTTATTCATACTTAGAGTTTAACCCATTAAAATAAACAGGACTTAAAGTTGGTCATTGATTTCAATAGAGATACTCTAATCATGATGAAATCTCTAACCAGCCCACTGCCTGTATTTCTTCTTTCACTGGATTCTCGCTGTTTAGAACCCTGCCCCTGGGACCATAATTGCAATTGATTGTAAGATTCCACATGTCTGATGAAGCTGACTTTTGTTTGCAAAAGCTTATGCCTCAAGAAATCTGTTAATCATTGAGGTGCGGCATGACTCTTTATTGAGTTTTGTTACAACAAATTGGCACGGTTATTGTGCTAGAAAATATTTTTGTATTTCAGATTCTGTTAAAGATGCAAATATTTGCTGCATGTTACATGCTGTTGAAGACCTTGTACATCAACTAATCTTTCGGCTAGCTAGGTTAATCTCATTTATCCTCTAGAAAGCAACAGTGGCAACAGAATACGTAGAGAACAGCTAGTGTTTACATTCTGTGCAAATAGGTAGCATTTACATAAAAAAAATACAATAATGCTGTCTCTTCTTCTGGACACTTCAGAATATGGTGCAGTCCATCCCATTTATGTTTAATCTAGCTAAATTATAAAGTATTAATGCAGTAACAGCTTATCTTGAGATATAATTACAGTCATGCTTTTCCTAGTTGTTTCATTTTGTAGATTTATTGTGCTTCTGAGACACATAACAAAATTAGTCATAAAATCCTGACAAATTGTTTTCCTTTCCCTGACCTTAAATACTCTACTTTGTAAAACTGTTTTTAATTTCCTTCCAGAAATGAGTCTTTTCAGACATAAGTGTTTTGTCAGATTTCATACTCATAGTTTTGTTTTTTAAATAGGGTACTCAGTGACTGCTGGTGAATTTACTGGAGACTTTCAGCAAGGTAAGACACCATAATTTTTCAAAGTAAAAAATCTGTGGTCTGTGATATAGCTACTTACTCTGATTTTTTTCTTTATTTTAGTAAGAAGATGCTTAAGCCTTTTAGTAATTAGGCTAACTTAATACCCACACAGACTCAATTTGTACCATACACTATCTCCATCCATGTAAACACTGCTTACCTTGGCTATGGATTATACTAGTTCTTTTGAGTGTAGCACAACATTTTCTATCCGCAGCTTATACAGGACATTTTACTGACTATAGCAGCAGTTATTGGATGTACTTGTAACAGTTGTCCACACAAATTCATATTTCAGCAAGGTGCAAGCTATTTAAATAGACAAAAGGTGTGTTGTGTGAATAAGCTCCCATAGAAATACAAATACAGTCCAAAGTGTAATGAAACCTGTAGCATTGTTTGTGCCTTGTGCATTGCATTTTATGCAATGGCAATGTAGTGTGTGAGTATGTTAGAGGCATGACCTCTGATCTAGAGTTCTGTATACAATGTGGTACCTAGTGTGGCGTGGCGGACAGAGTGATTCAGTGAAGAGACTTGGGTTCAGATTCCAGCTTGGCCATGGAAACTCAGTGGATGGGGAGCAGCACCAGTGAAATCACTGCTTAAATATCACACTTAAGCCTGAAAGCCCTGTTACGGTCATTGTAAACCAGTTCTAACTTGGTAACACACAACACATGCACACACATCATAGTAACGCTCAAGTGGCCCTTCTGCTTGAATGTACTTGAGCATAATTTTTTGATCCAAAACAACCTACAGGAAATAATTTATGTACAGGTATAGGTGTCTGCAACAGACTCTGAAGTTCATAACCACACAGACGTTTGCACAGTATCATATTCTCCCTTTCTCTATCTCTCTTTCTCTTTCAGGACAGTGATAAGAGCTTGGAAAATTTCCCTTTTTTTGGGCTGCAGTTCCCAGACTGATTCTGGCAACCATTAAAAAGATGCAGCTCTCTTTAAAAGTAGTACTTGCTATCCTAAACTTGTCAATCCTTTGTTACAAATTCTGTACTTAGTAACAGAAAATAATAGAGTTTGCTGTTTGGTACTTCAGCAGTCTCCTGGAAGTCTTGTTTGAATAAGACTGACAAGCAGATGTACAAATTGCTGCATTCTTTCTAAGAAGAACTTATGGTAGTTGAGTTGAAAATCTTGGCGCTCCTGTCATTGTATCAATATAGAGCCAGTCCTACCATTGGACAGAATGAGATTCTTGTCTCATATGCCAGTTTCTACAGAGTGCCAAGCAAGATGTGAGAGAAAAGTTGCCTGTCATAAAGTCTCCCTAAGCTAGCCTGCTGCCTAATGGATAGTAGAGGATGTTGTCGCTTTACCCAGAGTGAAGTTAAGATTAAACTTTCCAGTTCAATCAGGATTTATTCTTGAGAAGGGAGTGGCTATCATCTTATTCTTCCCCCGTGACAGAAAAATGGCTTGAGCTGGTTTTCTGTCATATTGTACTGAAATCAATCAGTGTTTTTCTATAGCAGTGTAGGATGCCTGGTAGCGGATTCCTTCTTAAATTTTGATGTCTGACCATCCAAATATGTCTTAATATTTATGATACAATTAATACTACTGGCATATCCTCAAAAATAGACCTCCTAATCCAGTTTCTGAGTAATTGCTGTATAAGTGAGTGCTGCACTAACTTTCAGGATATTATTTTCTTTTTAGAGCTGGTTGCTGGAGTTCCACGAGGTGCACAAAACTTTGGTTATGTACGTAGTCTACCAGATCTTTTATTTCCTCCCTCCCTTGTCCCCTGCAGTGAACAGAACTTGGAAGATTTACTTTTGGTAAATTATTCCCACGTTCTAGGAACTGTGGTCAGAAACAGTAACTTCTCCAGCCTGTGACAATGAATTAGCAACAAAATGTATTTCATTTTTCTCATGAATTAAAAAAGTGATGTTTTAAAAATAGTTGTTTCATATTGATTTGATTTCTACTCATTAAAAAAAACCCTCAGCTGACCGAGATGCATACGCTTTAGCTGAAGTCCAGTCTTCGTTAACCATTGAATGGGTTTTCAATAATGATGCTGCAAATACTGTGAATAGCAAAAGCCATGTGACCCATTAGATAAAGTGTACTCCTTTAAAAAGCCCTCCCACTAAAAATAATATACCCTATGGGATCTTTGTCCTGTACTGACTATCCACCTTCAGTTGTTTCCCATGCAATACAGCAGACAATAATTTTTTGTTTTAAAGACAAATAGATGAAGTCAAAACCCTGTTTGAGTTTTATGTGCACACAAGAGAGATCACATCAATTGCTGCAGCTAAGTGCAGGCAATTGATGAGGTGCTTGGCATGTAACCAGATGTGTGCTGTCATGGTCATTGGGAGCATGACTGGGCCTGTGAGTGATGTGTGCCTAGCACCTCATCAATGAACCATGACAGCTACCATGATTCCTTTAGTATGTACATAAAATCCCAGTGGAATTTTGGCCGGACAGGAATGGTTCTCTATATTGGATGAGTCAGTATTATTTGATTATTTTTGTTGCATCTACAACAAAAGTTGTAGAGGTGCCAAAGGACCCAAATTCATTCTTTTATTTGGAACAGTAGTATCTAGACTAACACAAGTGCACATTTAAAACAGTCTCCTTGTAAATATTCAGGAATGTAATGATTTATGACCTGACTGAGAGATTGCTGTTTTCCATTTTCAGGTTTCAATTATAAATTCTACGGATTTAACCTTTATTCAAAATTTTACTGGTGAACAGGTAATTACTGTCAATAATTCAGCATACTTTCACATCACTGTTTAAAAATAGGGAATATGTCCCTATCTACGTAGTTACAGCATAAAATACATTTGAAGCAATCCTGTTTAAAATGGATTGTGATGGCATGTTGCCAGTGGCAAGTAGAGCTTTGAAAGCGACCGGTGATATAAAAATAAAAGTGTTCTTTCTTTACAGATGGCCTCTTACTTTGGATATACTGTTGCAGTATCAGATGTTAATAATGATGGGTAAGTTGGTAAAAGCAATATATCACTCAATGCTTCATTTTCTCTTCATGCCCTGTTTAGTGACTAATTTACAGGGAAGAAACAGGCATTCCAAAAAGAATGATACTCATCTGTTAAAAAGCTAGAAGAAATAAGCCATTCAATTGCCTTTGCATTCCTTTTTTTTTGTTTTATCTTGCTTTGTGTTTTTCATTTAAGTAAAGTTCTTTTCAGAAAATTGATACTTGGGTGCTGCATACTCTTCCTCTCCAACTAACCTTGCCAATTACGGTAGCTTCAAGAGTTGTTCAATGGAAAATATCCCCCCTCCGTCCCATGCTGCTAGCATATCTGTTGAAGGTGGAATGCAATATGTACTGTAGATACCCAGAGCATTTGTTGGTTAATGCCTGTGAAACACCATTACTCATAAACAGCTCATTATTTTTGAGTATACCTGCACTGTTTAAGCACTTTCTTTCATTAATTTTAGGTAAAATTAACTGATTGTGTGAAAGGTTGAAAGCTTACTACTCTATTGCCTAGCAGACACGCTCCATCAGCAAGTTAAAATTAAGCAGAACTGTAGTAAATAGGGTCAAAGTTTAAATTTTAGCAGAACTTAGATTTCAATTGGAATTACAGTGGTGCCTCGCAAGACAAATGCTCGCAAGACAAATGTTTTTGGCAATGGGGTTGATGACTCACAAGACAAATGTTCCTATGGCCGTGCTTCGCAAGACGAATGTTTTCCGTTTTTTGTTCCTGCCTCATGTTTGCTGATTTTAAATGTTTTTCTATGATGTTTAAAAAGTTAAGGTTTTTTGACTGAAATTTTTTAAATCATCTGCACAATATGTATGGCTTTAAAGAGCACTTAATAAACCCTTTGTAAACCAAATTTGACTTTGTTCTGACTTCTTTTGCTCATAGGAACACATTAATTAGATTTCACGGCATTCCTATGGGAAAACGTGTTTCGCAAGATGAATTTTTCGCAAGACATCATTAACCGTGGAACAAATTAAATTCGTCTTCCGAGGCACCACTGTAGAACCCAAATGGATGAGTTAGGGAACTTTCCACTTAGACACAGAACAGACAAGCAGTAAAGGAGATTTCATTCTCGATTCTGTAGCTTCACAAGTTGCAAATCAGCTTGCTTTTGTTTGATGATTGGTCATTGGGAAATCTATTTGCATGTTGATTTTGCAAACATTGGGCACCCTTAAAACTGTTTCCTGCAAAGCTACATGTCTATTTTGGCCCTTACAGTAAAAATTCTTTTGCTAATAATTGAGAAGGTTTAAAATCAAATGAGGAGCTGATTTTTGAGCTATAATAATTTCAGTAGCTGTGTTGGCCAGGATTTCTGGGAGTTGTGTTCCAAGAACATCTGGGGACCCAAACTTGGTAACCACTGAATTAGAGGACAGGTTACAAATGGTGTAGTTTATAATCATCTTAGCAACATATCAGGCATTGATGTCTACTGCATCAAGGAGTCTTGAAGCTACGTCTTGCTTACTAATGTAGATGATGTACTTGGAAATTCTAGGAATCTCCCCAAATGTTTTGTTTGATGACCTGACCTCTCAATTCGAACATTTTCTAGTTCCCACATGAAAGGATTCCTGCTATCATCTTAAGGACCATACTCCCAGTTCTCCCCCAGTTGCTAGATTTTGTTGTGCTATGTCTCAACATCTTGCTTCCCACCCAATAGACTCTTTCCCACCCATCATCTTGACCATCAGCTATTAGAGAAGGCAAACATGATAGCTCCGGTGGTATTCTGCCATGTTGTTCTCCCTTCCTAGCACACACCAGCAAATTAAATTTTTGGAAAAAAAATGCCAATACAGGATTCAAGGGAGATTTGTCAGTTTAAAAAATGTTTATAAAAAAGTATGCTTTGAGGTATGGGAGCAGGTGCAGCCCTCCAAGGATCATGGTGGACTTATGTGGCACCCAAATCTCTGGAAATTGCTCACCCAGGTTTCTGCTGACTGACAGCATCTCTCAAGGGTTTCAGAAAAGGATGCATTCCCAAGCACTACTTGGAGGTGCCACGAGTTCAGCCAGAGATCCTCTGCTCACCAATAGCATGCTGTGCTGCAGAGTTCCACCCCTTCTCTTAAAGCCAAGGGGTGCAAAATGTTGACTGCATAGATCCCTCTGTGGTTAGTTTGGGCTGTCTTAAATAGACAGAGATGTGAAATGAGTGGTGCCGATTGGGCAGTAATTTCTGCACAAGAACACGGTGCAGAGAAGAATTATTTATGTCAGGTTAAACCATGTGTCTAATAAAAATACATTAGCAATCCTTTATGTGTGTTCTATCAAAGCTCCAAGTACTCCTCCAGCATTGTTCTATACCCCTGCTGTTCACTGCCCAACAGCACACAAAAGAATAGTGTAAAATGTTCAGCAGGTGGTCGTTTTTTGTACTGTATTGAATGTCATTTTATTAAACCAGGAAGTAACTGTGCTTCTTCTGTGTTAATGCATGGCAACTGTTTGATTAATAGTACCCAAATGAAACATGAAGACATAGCCATGAAAACAACATCACCTTTTAATTTACTACAGCTCCCAGAATTCCATTTCCCCCCCCCCATAGCTTCCAGAATTTTCTATCCAGAATGGCCAATGAAGTTTTCTAAACTCTAGTTGGAGCTTTTCTATGTCTCTTGAATAATGTAGCATTATTTCTATACCCCCTCTTCTTTTTAGCTTGTGTTTGGCTCCTAAACAGAACTATTTATAACTGAAGACAAGCAGAAATGTTCCGTGGTTTAGATTTTTCTACTGCAAACAGATGTTTCAAAACATACAACTCCCCACGCATTGTTTGAACGCTTGCAGAGAGACTGAGTCCTGGGCAGGGCAGGAGAGAACAAATAGAAGTGGAATTGACATCATTGTTTTTATTATCCAAATTAGGATATGGAATGCAAAACACTGCAAAGATCATAAATAGTGCAAGAACAGAGGGATATAATGAGTAATTCCATTGATGTAGAGGTACATAATATCAGAGGAGAGAGAGACTATTGCGAGGGGCAGGCCATTCCCATAGGCTATATCTAGGTCTCGCCACCAACATTAGTGCTACAAGTTCATTAGCTCTGCTTCAGTTGGATTCCTTCTTGACCTCTGTGTGGCCCAGATGTTTTGCATGAAGGAGATTCAGAAGACAGGGCTGTGAACGAGCCACTATGCAAATCCCTAGAGGCTGCTGTAGCTTAATGGCAACACCACAAAGGAAGTTGTGTTCTATGTGCAAGGAATGAAGTACAGGACTAGCCAACCGTTAGAATGTGGTAGGTGCCTCATAAAGCATATTGGGGGTACAGTATTATGAAGGAGCAGCAAACAGATGATAATTTAATGTATATTTAAACTTATTTTATTATTGTATTTTTACTGCCAGGAAGGGTAGAGATGCCTGGTCCTTCCAAGTGCTTCCTGTTTCTTAAAAGAGTTATTTCTGACTTCTAAAAAAGCTGGAGCTGCTGGTTAGTTCAGTAGTTTAGGTATCCAGCTGTGGAGCCAAAGGTTAGGAGTTCAGTTCCCCGCTGTGTCTCCTTAGAGTAGAACCAGCCTGTGTGGCTTTGAACAAGCTAGACAGGCAATCCCAGAGCTTCCCCAGAAGAAGGGAATAGTAAAACACTTCCGAATATTCTGTACCTGGAAAACCCTGAAAAGGATTGAATTGAAGTCAGAATTGAATTGATGGTGCATGAATATTATTATTTAAAAGCTAGGGGATAAATTAACATACAAATGATCAGTTGCCATTCCTCTAGACCACTGAGGGCAAAACTGGCCCATTTTCATACCAGTTGGTTGTTGTGGGTTTTTCGGGCTCTTTGGCCTAAGGAAGAATGACCTCTTTAAAAGTAGGAAGAACAACCTTCAGAACACAGCCAAAGAGCCCAAAAAACCCCACAAAAACCATTAGATCCTGGCTGTGAAAGCCTTCGCGAATACATTCATACCAGTTGTTTTTCAGTGTGGAGGATAACTTGGGGCCAAGGTTTAGGGAAGTTGTGTCATGTTTCCTATAATTGCTGAAGTTGCCCATCTCTAGATAAAACCATTCATATTTATAAAATAAAGGATATTTTAAATGTTGAATTGTTCTTTTCGTTTGTGTTTCCCCTCTGTTCCCAAATTCCAGGTTGGATGACATCCTTGTTGGTGCTCCTCTTTTCATGGAGCGAGAATTTGAGAGCAACCCTAAGGAAGTTGGGCAGGTGTATCTGTACCTGCAAGTTAGCGCCTTATATTTCAGAGAAGCACAGACACTGTCAGGCACGGAGGTATTTGGTAGATTTGGCAATTCCATCGCACATCTGGGAGATCTGAACCAAGATGGATATAATGGTAATACATCATATCTTTAGTGATTGCACAAAAAACTTATTAGCTAGCTGAATGCAGGAATGAAGAATCTTTACGTGTGGCTTGTTAAGAGTTGTAGTTAGTTGTACTCTAGTTGGTTAGTTGTAAAGTAGAATGTCATGACATGAATAGGGACAGTTCTATGGAGCAAATAACTCTCCCGCTAAAACAGCTGCTCTGGCTGCTAGTCCATTTCTGGGCCCCATTCAAAGTGTTGGTTATGATGTTTAAAGAACTATAAAGTGTGTCTCTAGGTTGTCTGTATCTTCCAACATGAGCCTTTCCACCTCTTAATATTTTCTGAGCAGGTCTTTCTTTTGATCCCATGGCCGTTACAGGTGTGCTTGATGGGGACTGTTGAGAGGGCCTTCTCTGTGACTGTTCTCAAGTTGTGGAATGCTTTCTCTTGGGAGGTCAGGTTGACTCTCTCCCTTTTATCTTCCTGCCAACAGTTGAAGACCTACCTCTTCAAGCAGTCCTTGAGTGCTTTTCTTTGTTGGTCGGTTTTCTAGGCGTGTGTTTTAATGTTTTATTTGGTGGAATTTTAATTATTATTGCATGCTTAATTGTTTTTAACCTGTAATTTATTATACTTTTAGTGTCATTTGTGTTATATTTGTGAGCCACCTTGAGTCCCCTCACCAGAAGAAAGATGGGTTTCAAATGATACAAATTAATAAAATATATTTGTCATCGAAAGGTGATATGCTGTTGAGCTACACCTTTATCTGTTTTTCAGAAGACAATCCTGTATTTGAATGGCTTTCGCAAAGCAGTCCTTCATTTGAAGTTTTATCCAAATTAATTTTAGAGTAAATGATCCATATGAAGCCAGAGCAGGGACCTTGGATTTCACCCCATCAACTGTAGTGCTTAGACAGTAGACCGAGCAGACAAATCGTTCATCTGGGTACAGTCTTCTCTGCTATTTTGATTGCAGTTTTTATTTTACTGATAGTAATCATGTCTTAATTTGCACCTAAGCACATATCCTTATCTCATGCATATGTTACACAGACTGTCCTTTCTATGGTGCTGCAGATATCGCCATGCTGTATTCTAGGGCTGCTTCTCTGAGTGTGTGTCTCAGGTTCACATCCCAGATTGGTTACTGAGCCTAGCAAATTTTTCAAAATAAAAAGCAACAAGTCACCTTGACATCTCTCATTGTTTTGTTTTTTTCCTTCCAGATATTGCAATAGGGGCGCCCTTTGCTGGAGAAGACAGAAGGGGGAAAGTACTCATTTACAATGGGTTCAGTATTGGGTTAAATCCTAAACCTTCCCAAGTACTTAGCGGAATGTGGGCCTCCCAATCTATGCCTGCGGGATTTGGCTTTACGCTCAGAGGAGACTCAGACATAGACAAGAATGATTACCCAGGTAAGGCTCTTCCACAAGAGAGGCGATTTTTATCTTTTCTTTCTCTGGAAAACCCATCACTCCTAAGCTGTTCTTTTTTTGGAAGGCAGAGGTCAAAATATAAATACTTTTGTGTGTAATTCCGAGCTTGGCTTCCCTGAGAATGTGAACAAGACAAATACTCCCTTTCCTGTCATGAGAAATCAGGAAGAATGCAAGAAGGGTTGAAACAGATATATTAACATGAAACACCTGAATTGTTACAGCAGGAATGAAATGGGTTTGGGGAGACTGAACCTGTGTCCCCACCCAAATTCTGAATGGGAGTGTTTTCTGGGCACTTTGCAAGCATTTTTTTTCCCAAAATGCTATTTTAAAACATGAAATCGCTCTCTCTTTTTATCCTGAAAATGTACAAAGTATATATAAATGCATATAAAATTCTCACTACAAAACAACACAGAAACATCAGTATTTAAAACAATTGTAGTTCAGAAACAGCAAAATGAAATTTGCTCTTTCACTTAGAGTTGTAGGAACATTGGAAGTTGCCTTCACACTAAGTCAGATTATTGTTCCTTCTAATCCAGTATCATCATCTCTGACTGGCTGCAGCTCTTCAGAGTTTTAGGCAAGGTTTTGTCCTAGCCTTACCTTTACATTCCTGGTATTCCTGGGTGGTCTCCCATCCGAGTACTAAGCAGCCACATCCCTGCTTATCCAAGCATAAACTGGAAGTTACACAACCACTGTGTGTAATTACTGTAGCTGGTTGTCATATACTCAGACATGCCCAGTTCATCCATTTGCTTACAAACTTGGTGGTATGCTTGCATGTACAATAGAGGGCCAGAAAAGTGCAAAAAAAATTATGTGATTCTCCTTATGCCTGTGATATTTTGCAGCAAGATTTGGGCCAGTGTGTTCAGCTAGTACAAACTAGACATTAAGAGGAACATACGTTTCCTTGGATCAACATGTTTTCTTCTTATGATTGGATTTTTAAAAAGTTGCATTGCTTAACAATCAGACTTGCAAATCAATGTGATATTTACTTTTCAATTGTCTACTGCAAAACAAAGCACACTACACTACAGTAGAAGATGTGTTTGTGTGTCTGTGCCATCAAGTCAGAACCAACTTATAACAACCCTAATAGGGCTTTCAAGGTAAGTTCGATACTTAAGGAGTGGTTTTTGCCAATTCCATTCCCCCAGTGAGTTTCTATGAAGATTTGAACCTGGGTCTCTTGAGTCCAGTCTATCACTCAGTCCACTACACCAGAAGATATATAGTTGATGAAAATCATGTACTGTGACAAACAGATGTTTTTCACTATGTAAGAGAACACCACTGGTGAAAATAGGCTAAATGTAATTGTCTAATTTAATCCTAGTGCTAGTAGTTTGTATTTTTATGTTTGTCATTTGCACTACTTAAAGATCTGTTATGAATGTTCCCAAGCCTGAACAGAGAAGAAGTGCATTCCCAAGTAACATAGCGCTATAATCAAGGAGGAAAAGCATGAGCTAAAAGTTTCCCCACACTATGAAAGCAATGGATGGTTTTCGGCAAAAAAAAATTTACCTATGAGCCAGAGACACCCCCATAATTTGTTCTACAGAATGAAATACAATGTCAGTCTATTGGTCTGGTTGTTCTAAGGATTGCCAGGCCAACTTGGAGCCCTTTGGGGGAAATTATTATATAAATATTGGGCTGGATACAGTCCTAGTGAGTCACAGTTTTGCCCCATCCATATCAGCAGAACCTTTATTAATAATGACTGACGACCTATCAATTTCAGGGGGGCTAAGGCACATTTTCCCCAGAGGAAAGGATTGATAAACCATTTCTGTGTATTCCCTACCTCGAAAACTCTGAAAAGAGTCACTGTGAGTCGGAATTGATTTGATGGCACATAATTATTATTAAGGCATATTTGGATACAGCCTATTCATTGTTACTGTATTATTATTAGAAACACATATGCAGATCCAGGAAGGGTGGTTTTTTTAAAAAATATATATAGGTATACTTTCATAGCCTTCCTGGCCTGGTCATTTTTCTTTAATTAGTTTTGTTTTGAATGTTTTCCCTTAACAATTAATATTTAACTGATGTCATCTGGTATGTATCAACACCGCTTCACTATTTGGAGTTTTCACCCTTTATTTCTTGAATTGGAATGTATCCAGTTTGGGGCAATGTTCCAACACCATCTGTAGCCTAAATGCACAACATCATTTTAATTTGTTTCTCTCCATTTCCCCCCTCCTTGGGGATCAAGCCTATGGCAGACCACAACATTTCTCTTTGTAGGGATTTGAGAAGGCTCTCTGCAGTTGTAACATAACCCACACAGTAGAACTGCTGTAGTTCAAGCCTGAGATTGTTTTGCTGGCAGAAGCTCTATTGTAATTAATGAGACAATGCTCACTGAACATTCGGGAGTATCTTTGTCACTGTGCTCTATTAACCTACTGTACTAATATTTTGAATAGTTTATGTTTTGTGACTGTTTTCAGTACTTATTTTTGTCTCGGCTCTTGTTTGCCTTACTCCAGCTGGCTGGGCTTGTTTTATATTTACATCTTCATTTGCTTTGAAAAAGGGACAAAAAGAGTCTGAACGCACAGGGCATTTTTATGCCCTTTGGTCTTTTTCTGATTACAAAGGCAGTGGTTTTCAGTGCATTGCTTGGAAACAGCTTCTACTAGAAGAGCCTCCCCAAGTTTTAAGACCTTCAGGGAGTGCCTTATTCTCAGTCCTCTTGAAAAAATGAAGAATGAAAAGTCCTGCTCTCCGTCCCATCATCCTTAGAGTCATTCCTGGGGGTGATGTAGGAGATGGCTTTTCCAGCGGCTGGTCCCAGCACATGGAGCTCCCTACCAAAGAAGGTCAGTTGGCCACCTCCATGTTGCTCTTCTGCTGGCAGGCAAAGACCTTTCTCTTAAGGCAGACACTCAGCAGCTCATTAGCTGCTTTACTGGGAGATACTGTACAGTACTTTTCTACTTTTCCAACTCTACTTTTGCAAATCATTTTAGATTTTGGCTTTAATTCACTGATAATGATTAATTGCTTTTAAAAGAGTGATTTACTGGCTGAAATCCCGTTGTGCAGTTATGCAGATTGGTGCAACTTTTGGAAGAGAACTGCTGTAGTTTAAGAAACCTCCATAGACAGTACACTGAATTGTGCAACTAATCATGTGACAGTTAAGGTCTACAGAGATGTCTTAACTTTGCATCTTAAAAGTATACTGTTTGCATCATGTTCTACAAGCTGGCTTGGGTCCATTGGGGACAAAGGTGGAATATAAGAAATTTGGCTGGCTGG